TTTTTATAAGAATATTGAATCGACAGTTCTGACCTCTGAAAGAGTCCAAACAGACCTGGGTGAAAAAAAAAGACAATTCTTTTTAAAAGCACTTGAGACGTCAATCTCAGAAACCAAAAACAAAACCTGTCAAGAATCTCGTATAAAGATGCGGCTGGTGGTTTATCTTAACGTGAGAGAGTAGAGGCGGATGAAGGCAGAAAATCGTTTTACCAAAACTTCTCAAATCAAATTATCGATCTATCATTTCGTATTATTATCTACTTTCCTATGATAAAAAACACATCAGGAAATGACATTGATAGTCATTGATATTTAGTCCCACAGGAAAAAAGCAACAGCCCATTTTGACACAAGTAACGAAAAAAAACAACATCATGAAATGATTTAATACATCGTAATATATTGTAGCTAGATTCTTAAATATATCGATTTTCCGCAGCGACTTTATAACCACTTTTCATCAGACAATTTCTGGAAAACAATAAAACGTCTACCAGCCCAACTCCAGTGAACAAGGTAGTGTGAATCGTGATCAATAGAATTGTCAATTCCAAACTGAAGCCTAGTGTTGGGTTGTGCCATTCTTTAACGGATAATAAACACCTAGTATTTATATTCACCAAAAATCTAATTCCTTATACTTTAGTAGCAGTGAAACTTGTACACTAAATTTATTCCATAGCGACTAAATAGGTTTCTTTTTCTTTCTTCACACTTACTAAAAAACTAGATCGTGTAAATAACAAGGCTTAAAATCTCGTTCAGGGAAAATTGAATATATGTCTAATATTTCCATACTTGAAAGTTCCAGAAGGAAATGACTTCAGTTATTTTTATTTCTTATGCCTATTTACATCTTGTTTTCTATATTTAGTGTTGTATACGGAGGCCTGAAAATTTTGGAGAACTTTACACTGTACCGAGATTAATCAACAGCGCCCTCCAACGGAAGTGTTTGATACTATCATAACCGTTTTGTTACCTATTGTAACAAAAATACTTTGTTTTTTTATGTATCTATCTTTTAATGATCGGATTGTAAGCTTATAGATAAAAATCATATGAAATAAAATCTTTTTCCATGAAAATCACATAAATAAATTATTATACTTGTTGTTTTCTGTAAGGAAAATATCTAGTCATCATTTTAGTGCTTTTATGAAATAATATTACAAACTGACAAAAATTTCGTTCAATTACGTATGGTAACTTAGTTCTGTACGAATGAAAAATGAGTAAGGAATTTCCTCGAAAAATATGTTTGTTTCGTGTAAGATTGTTTTATTTTATTTATTTATTTATTATAATAATTTTAATTCTTGAATCATTACAATTTGTATTTTTATAGTTCGTATATAGCGCGTATGAGGTTTTCTTACCGTATTGCCATCTATTAGGAGCTCTGTTAACTAACTAAAACATCTACGTTTTGAGCAGTATTACTGAAATGAACATAATACTTGGCCCGGCATGGCCAGGTGGTT